ATTTTAAATTGCTTGCTTTTGTGTTCATTCCATTTCAGAGATGGTAAGTTATTATGAGATTTAGTTATGATAATTTGTTTCATGTTAAATGTTTAGATAGATGTAAAATGTGCAGATAGTTATGAGATTTTATTGCATGTAAATGTGTAGATAGTTACGAGATTTAGTTATGAGATTTAGTTATAAGATTTGGCAATGAGATTTACCTACAACTGTCGCCATATTCGGGATGATCAGGTACTGTCGGAACGCAATCCTATCACAGTCTGCTGTACCGCATTGCAAAAGGCTTTGTCTGGACTCAGTCGTATCGTGTTCTGTAATTGTCGGGACTCTGACGTGGGTATTATTGACGAATTTCGTATTAATAACGTATTAATAACGGGACTGTTCCGGAACGGTTTCGGCAAAGACAGTTCGCATTCGGCAAGATCTGGATGCAATCTGGACTCAATCGGCAAAAAACAGCAATGACAAATTTCTCATCATGCCCGTTCCACAGGATACCGTCCAGAAAACACAGAACATTGTTACGATTTTGATCCGATACAGCAGAATCTGTCACAACAAAGTCACGATTGTAATCCGACTAGACAAAATCGGCTGAGTTTCCCCGAATGTTACGGGACGCACCTAACTGTCGGGGGTGCTTGGCAGACCTCTTCGGACCATTCCCGATCCGTAGGAATCTGTAACGAACGTATACGACTGCGTTCAGACAATGATAGGACATTCCAGATCATAGAGGATAGTAATCCGACTTTTTCACTGTTCGTTCGTGTCTTAGCGCTGTCGGATCTCAAACAGGAGCCATAATCGGCACTGTGTGAACGCCACATTAAAGCCTCGTCACACTAGACCAAGACCATGACGATCCCACTACGATTCAATATTTCATAGTTTTCACGTTCATTCCACGACCTTGCTATGATCCTGATAAAATCCTGCTATGATTCCGCTAAGATAGTAACACGTTCTAGTTACGATCTTGTCACGCTCTTGCTACGTCTAACAGAGGTTTCCCGATTTGCTACGTATCAGCGACTCTTTTCAAAAAAAAAAACTTATGATTAAAATTGATCGTAAGTTATACTGAAATGTTCATGACTTGTAAGATTTTTTGTGAAAAGAGCCGAAAGTACGGTTGGTACGTAACCCACCCGCAAGTGTTGTTTAGTAGGTATTATTTAATGCATGAGATTATTTTATCCATCTTGATAAAATTAAAGAAATCTAATTGCATATCATCAAAATCTAGCTTAACATTTTTTTTGATAACGATTTCATCGTTTCTAGAACACTTTGGTTATGATTCTATGTGAGATTATTTAGCTAGTGCACACGTGCATGAATCAAACAGACCTTACACGAACAAGTTGACATTGCCTTTAGATTCTAAATATATATTTGCGTTTCTGTTTGCTATAGGCATTGTTTTTGTTTCGTTTATATTTAGAAACAAAATATTATACTTGCTTAGTGCTGATTTCTTAATATTTATTGCATCATTTTGAAATTAGTTACTAGTATTATCATTTAAGAAATCTATTTCGATCATTACAGCAGACCATTTGAGGGAGAAATACTACGGAAAATTTAATGAAGGCGTTGGCCATCTCCATTTACCACACGTATCGAACACAGTTACAGGTAAAACATTGATATATATATATATATATATATATATATATATATATTTTGGAAAATGTTGTTTGTGCTGTATTTAGACACCTCTAACAAGAAATTTGTTTTGCATGCACACGTATAAAAATTGCGGTTTTTATCCAACGCAATCATAGGTTTGAACGTTGTTTTCAATTTAGACTTGTTTATATTTTTTCTTTTGGACTTGTATTATATTTGCCTTAGGGTTTATATGATCCGTTCATCCTATTTTGACTCCTCAAAATTCAAGAGTCTATCCTAAATTGAGGTAAATTATATGGCTTTCCAAATACCGTTTCGATTCCTAACATCACTGAAGAGACATTAATTGTCGAAATCCGGATATGGTGTACAAAAATTCTTTGCACCTTTTGTTTGCGGTATACCATCTTTTCCGCAAGTTTATTGTTTTCTGTTTGGTATTAAATTTATAATTAAGATCCATTTATTACACCGGGTGATCCGTTTATTTGGCAATCGCCAATGGCAGTCAGCAGGGTTTAAGAGCATGTGTTTTTCGACCTGTTAGTCAAATGCGCTTTGTTAAAATATATTTTTTCACTTTTTTGATCTTTTGGAAAATGTTGTTTGTGCTGTATTTAGACCCCTCTAACAAGAAATTTGTTTTGCATGCACACGTATAAAAATTGCGGTTTTTATCAAACGCAATCATAGGTTTCAACGTTGTTTTCAATTTAGACTTGTATATATATATATATATATATATAATTCGTCTTAAATTTAACCCAACAATGTTAGATCTTCAAATTTGCATTAGCAAATTTTTGTTCTTCCCTCAGCGGGATTCGAACCCTTGCTTCTGTGGCGTCGTGGTAACACCGCCTGCACCGTCACGGTCCAGCGCCCTAGACCACTCGATCACCAAGGCTACATAAAAATATAGTTTTCGGTGGTCGATGTTATGCCTTTCCTCGTCGGCTTTATCTAGGGTTGTAACACAGTACATGATGTATAGTGGCAAGTATATGGTGTACCTTTCAGATCAGCTATTTTGTCTATCGTAAAGGATGAGAATGTTAATTACCATGCTGCCACATCATTTTATTATACACGTCTAAACATGTGACAACTTTATGACAGACATTCTCCATCGGATAACACGTGGTTATTATACAGAGCTAACACCACAATATATATATATACATAACTCCATTGTTTAGACTGGCTGTATATGTAGTGTCAAAGAGGATGTTGAAAAAAAAATTAATTTTAATAATTGGCGGCGAATTAAAGGTAACAAGTAGAGCAATCAAAAACAAAAAATGAAGACAGATGCTCTGGAGGAATCGGGGCTGACCTCTGATGCTCTAGAGGGACAGGGGCTAAACTATGATGCTCTAGAGGGACCAGGGCTAAACTCGCATGATCTAGAGGGACCGATGCTAAACTCTTATGCTGTTGAGGATTAGGGCTTAACTCTGATGCTCTGGAGAAATCGGGGTATTAAACTCTGACGCTCTGGAGGGACCGAGGCTAAACTTTGATGCTCTAGAGGGACTGGGGCTAAGCTCGGATGCTCTAGAGGTACCGATGCTAAACTCTGATACTCTTGAGGAATCAGGCTTAACTCTGATGCTCTGGAGGAATCGGGCTAAACTCTGATACTTTGGAGGGACCGGGGCTAAACTCTGATGCTCTGGGGGGACCGGGGCTAAACTCTGACGCTCTGAAGGGACCGGGGCTAAACTTTGATGCCCTGGAGGAATCGGGGCTCACCTCTGATGCTCTAGAGGAATCGGGGCTTAACTCTGATGTTCTTGAGTAATCGTGGCTAAACTGATGATCTGGAGGAATCGGGGAATTAAACTAAGACGTTCTGGAGGGACCGGGGCTAAACTTTGATGCTCTAGAGGGACGATGCTAAACTCTGATGTTCTTGAGGAATCGGGCTAAACTCTGATGCTCTGGAAGGACCGGGGCTAAAGTCTGATGCTATGGAAGGGACCGGGCTAAACTTTGACGCTCTGGAGGGACATGGGCTAAACTTTGATGCTCTGGAGGGATCGGGGCTAAACTCTGATGCTCTGGAGGAATCGGGCTTAACTATGATGCTCTGGAGGAATCGGGGCACACCTCTGATGCTCTGGAGGAATCGGGGCTTAACTCTGATGCTCTTGAGGAATCGGGGCTAAACTGATGGTCTGGAGGAATCGGGGAATCAAACTCTGACGCTCTGGAGGGACCGGGGCTAAACTTTGATTCTCTGGAGGAATCGGGGCTCACCTCTGATGCTCTGGAGGAATCGGGCTTAACTATGATGCTCTTGAGGAATCGGGGCTAAACTCTGATGATCTGGAGGAATCGGAGCTGAAGTCTGATGTGCTGGAGCTCTTCAACCATTATAGCATCATTTCCGAAATGTAAGTAATCACATTGTTATAAAATGAGCAATCCTCGCAAAATTCTACCAATCACCATGATTACAAAGTTTAAAAGGATTTAGCCTGGTAGTTTCAGAAGAGAAGAAACTAGAAAAGTACCACTCGGATTCAAGAATGGCATTTTCCTCGGCGATGTTTTTGATGAGTATGTGGCAAAATGAACAGTAAAGAGACGCTGGACGACAAGTGCTGGCAAAAGTTCACATCGGCCATTTTGTGGGGTAAAAATTGTGGATCTAATTATAGGATTGTTTTATGAATTTGATTATGTCTTATAGGGATAGAAGAGACACATACACTAATCGGCTATTATATGAAGAACAACCGCCAGGTATGATTGATTAATGTATTAAACAGGATTAACATTGCGGGTTTCATTAGTGGGGCAGGATCCGGCGCTCTTGACTTCACTGTTTTTAGAGTTCGGTGTTGTTTAACCTTTAGTTTTCTTTGTAGTGTTTTGTGGACGGGTGTTTTTTCGATTTGTTTCTTTTTGGCCAAGGTGTTGTCTGTTTATATTGGAGTTATGTTTTTTTAATGCCCCGTTGTAATCTTTAGACTTCTCCATCTTTTTCCTGTTAAGAACACAACCAGATAATCTATCAACAATAGGAAGAGGAACAATCCGTGCTCAAACTGATCCACATCATGGATTTATATTTAGATATAGAAGTTATATAATTTTTCTGACTGTCCCACCATTATGCCAGTATTTTGTCATTGCTTTCGTTTTTAATTGAACTTGTAAGTGTATTTGTTCTTTATATGTAATTAGAGTCATGTTTTACTGCGAAATACAATCAACAATCTATTTCTGTGTTTGAATCTAAATATTAGCATTATATTTGTACCATACCCAACACCTTAAGGGGGTTTATATAAATGAAACGTAGGAAACTATTATAGATGATATTTTATTTTAAATAACTGTATATTATGAGGTAGGTCAGCTTATCCCTATGCTTACGATTATTAACTTGCACTTCATTTTGTTCACCTTTAAAATGTTTTTTTTTTTAATTACACGTATATATATATAAATGCATATATAAATTGAAGGCACTATATAACATGGTCGCCAGACCATGTTTACCTGTCAAAATATGATCATGTTTAAAAGATGTTATTATCGTTGCCATATCAACAAAGGTTAAATATTAAACAGGTCATCAAGTGTGGTGAATCCGAAAGACTGAGGGGCTCGGGCTTCTTTTATATCCTTTCCGATTAACTTCCCGTTCACCAAATATTCTTTTCCCAGCTTATTCTGTGCCCATGTGATTATCTCATCCATCGTAGGTGTCGCCACTCCAGCTAGTTCCGCTATGCCTTTCATTACCACGAGACCAAAGGGAATGTCTTCTCTCGTATACCGGTAGTTAAAATCTGGTACAAACCCACCTTCCACAGCTTTCATTGGATGGAGAAGACCATCGTATGCTGCATTGGTTCTCATGGCCATCATCAATGAACTGTTATCAGAGATTTCGTCATGGTAATAAGTTTTGTACCAATCAAATATATGAATGACATCTTTCATTTTTAGATTATTTCGTAGCTTCTCTATCTTCTTGGCTGTGAGTATACATTCGTCGCTAACCTTAGAAAGGAAATTTGCTTGCTTTGTATCCACGCCCTGATAAAACAATGGTTTCTCCCTGACAGGTTTACCATCCCAGTTACTCCAAGTACCATACATGAGCGGAGGGTGTATAATAGATTTTGCCATCAGATTAATTGCAATATAATTCTGTACTAAATTAATTGCTGGCTTCTTACCAAATATATCTTGAATTGTATCGACAATGGGAAACGGAATATGACATTCCTTTCCTGTGACTACCGACATACCAAGGACATCTTTGAAACCAATTAACTGGACATGTTTACCGAAGTCATCTACTCTACAGGCCCATGGAAGAGATTCGAATGATGCAATAGCCAATTGGGAAGATTTTGGGCCCAATATGTTAATACACTGAAACTCAAAACCGGCCTGTCCAGGCATCCCAACAATTAAAGTATTCGGTTTGATAAATGGTGCAATGGCCGTAAGGTACTGAGAGTGAGCAAATGCGGGTACAACCATGAAAACAATATCAACGCCGTCGACAGCTTTCTCGGGATCATTCGTAACAATCTTTGGTTTGGTTGATATTTCCATATGACCCCCATTTACAAGCGGTTCGTAGACCGTCAGAAAATTTGATTTTAATATATTTGACCATCGTTCAGCTTCGTCTTCAAAAAGTGAAAGTATCTTCACATCAATTTCTTCATGGGAACCGGCAACTCCCGCCATGCAATGCGCGCCATTTCCACCTCCACAGACAAGGATTTTTAATCGTCGGACACCTTTCTTTAAGTTTCTTCCCTCTTTTAAAAAACTATCTGAAAGTCATAAATGGAATAATATATTAATGCAAAATGTATGTGATGATAAAAAAAAAAAAGAAAGAAAAAAAAAGACAACAACATAAAACGGCTCTATCCGTGGAAAGATCCTTCTAGAAACTTAGTGCCATACGATAAAGTACAATTAACATAGACCTATCACAGATTTTTTTCGCACGGATATGCAACCAAACGTTTACTAAGTTTGGTGTGATTGTAAACGGGAAGTATCGGTTTTTTAACCACTCACTTCTCATTCATTCATAATTTAAGATTATATTTTTTTTTAATTGTCTCGTTATTTTATACATTTTGCAGTTCATTTATACTCGTGGAAAATGCGAGTGACTTTGCACGGAATTCAGGAAACTTTGTAATTTTTTTTTTTGCCTTTTACTTTAAAAAAGTCTAGTGGGTAGTAATGTTTTATGCATGCCCTAAAAATTAAAAGCAAAACAAAAAAGTTTACTAAAACTTTACATTTCAGGCAATAACTCCTAAACATATTGTTCGATTTTTCTGCAAATTCCAAAGTTGACATAAATTAACCTGCTAATTATTTTTACTTTATCAGATTTGCTCTAACAGCTATGTTCTATAGAAAAGAAAGCACAGAGATGCGTGGAAAGATCTAGTCCTTGTCCTATGTGCCTCCGGACATAACAAGGACTAGGTAGGTAGGTATCCCCTATGTTCTACTTTTAGCAACAGTGGCCATGTTTGATGATAGATCAAATCCGCGGATATTTGATTGAGGTAAATACCCTAAGGAACATCCAGGTAAAGTTTGGTAATATTTGGCCCAGTAGTTTCAGAAGAGAAGATTTAAAAAATAGTTTAGGATGACGGACGGACGGACGACGACGACGGTCGCCAAACCAAGTGTTGGTAAAAGCTCTCATAGTCTTTTAGTCCAGGTGAGATAATACAAACTTATAAGAACACTTCTGAGACACATGATATGTATGAAAACATAAGTAGTCAAATAAAGGCATGCCAAATTTAATTATCGCCAGGATGCAGGACCATAAGTGTTTATAACTAAATGGCAATATGTGTTTGATTTTGTGAAAATATCTTCACACGACATCTTTTTAATTTAAAACTCTATATTTGAGAGATTTGGTTTTCTTTAGGTCTGTGGTCAATAAATAAAATAATAAAGATTTCAGAAAACAAGTCTGTTCTTTTTCTCGGGTGTTTTTCAAATGTTATTAAAACTTATGTAATAAGTTATAAGTTACAAAAAGGAACAGCTGAAATAACAAGACTACAACCATACTATTTTTTTACGCTGGAAGCTGAGACTTTTACCTGACATGCTGTCATACAGACGTTTCAATCCAACTATGACGCTGACGCCGACGGCCCCGGTGGCTAAACCTGCCAGGAACTCTTTGTGGTTGTGAGCTGCCATGTCCTGCTTTATAAGAAAATATAGTGTCAGTCACTATTAAAAAGTCAAAAATATACTGATAACGCTGTATTATAGTAACCCCAATAATAAGCAAATGTCTGAAGGTCAACAAGTTCGTGTCTTTATTGAACTATTATACACTCCGTCAATGGTTCAGTTTTTCAACGTAGAGCGTAGGACAATATCGGGACAAACACGTATCTTATATATAAAGTATATGCTTTTGTTGTATACAATGTACACAGTACTTATAACATACAAATAAAACTAGTATAATCGAGTATTTTTCAAAATTGAAAAGAAATCTGATTCATATTTATACATATAACTTTATGCATACATCTACCTAATTATTTTTATTTACTTTAATAAACCACGTAAGGTAGACATAAAAACTTCTCGGAGCACTTACTCAGAAACAGTCTCAGAATTATTTAGTTGATGTAATACTAATACTTTAAATAAAACATATGTTCGAAACGCTACGGTTCCTCAAATACTATTTTTCTGATATTAAACTTTAATTTTTTTCTTGAAAAAACAATATGTATATTGTTTCATTTCAGCGTAAAAATCATAAATTGTCAGCGTGATCTCGTCGTTCGTTGTTAAATTCCGCGACTTTCGACTTGCAATCTTTCATTAGCTATACATAAGAATTTGATGAAACGTAAAAATAAACAGTCTTAAAAAAAATACTGTACTCTTTGCATTATATGAAGTATCCTGTATATGTTAATTGCTGATCTGTTATTTTTGAAATCTATCAACAAATAGAATTTTACAGATTAATTTCACATACAATATGGAATTCTTTACCGTGAGGTAAAAATCCATTCAGGTAAATTGATAAATTTATAAAAAATAATAATATTGCTAAACTTAACATGCTTAATATTAATACCAGATAGAGAAGTAAATAATTATTTCCGGATTACAAATTGGAATAGTATACGCTGTGTTGTATTTTATTGTATTCTACTAATGTGTAACCAATAATATTGATATTCGATAACTACTACTTTTTTGTATATTAAGGTCTTAGGTGAAGCTGTATCACCAACTGTTTACACCTTTTAAAGCATCTACAATTAAAATGAAGACAATGATCTTTGTCCTAACCATCAATTTCATCATTTCTAATTTTAATGTTGTTTTTGCTCATTTATTTATGTTTTGGTGGTGGCCATGGTTGAAGATAATTGGGATAAAAAAGATCTTTCGTTACTGACTTTCCTCTATGGAAGATCTGTGCAGCATGGTCCATTTGTCGTCCCCATGATCCCCTTCTACTGTCATTGTTTATAACATCATCATATGGTTCAACAATATGAAGATGTGGTATGATATAAAGATAAGATGATGTGGTATGATATAAAAATAAAGAGCTGCGCCATGAGCGCGTGATACGCCCGCCGCTTTTTCAACAAATAAAGTTCCATAACTCCTCAATGTTATATCAGAAATTTATAAAAAAAAACTAAAGGGAGCTTATTCTACTATAAACCAGTCCCCAAAAATTCAAGAAAACTGCTGAAAGCATTTTTGAGTTGTTGTCCGAAAACTAAAAAATCCTCCCTTTTTTATGAATAAAATCCCATAACTCGGAAACGTTAAATCTAAAATTTATAAAAATCGGAAGGGAGCTTACGTCTATGGAAGGGAAAATCTGCTATAATTATACATTTCTTTTTTTTGTTAAATGCAATTTCTTAATTTATAAACAGTAATATCTTCATTTGTAACATAAAATTGAGAATGGAAATGGGGAATGTGTCAAAGAGACAACAACCCGACCAAAGAGCAGAAAACAGCCAAAGGCCACCAATGGGTCTTCAACACAGCTAGAAAATCCCGCACCCGGAGGCGGGCTTCAGCTGGCCCCTAAACAAAAATGTGTACTAGTTCAGTGAAAATGGACGTCACACTAAACTCCGAAACATATAAATGAACTAAAATTTAAAAAACATACAAGACTTACAAAGGCCAGAGGCTCCTGACTTGGGACAGGCGCAAAAATGCGGCGGGGTTAAACATGTTTTGTGAGATCTCAACCCTCCCCCTATACCTCTAGCCAATGTAGAATAAACAAACACACAGCAATACGCACAGTAAAACTCAGTTTAAAAAAAGTCCGAGTCCGATATCAGAATAGGTAATAGAAGAAACTAAGCAAAATGACAATGATACATAAATTAACAAAGGACTACTAGTAGTTACTGACATGCCAGCTCCAGACCTCAATTAAACTGATTGAAAGATTATGTCTTCATCATATAAAAATCGAGCACAATCCCTCCCGTTAGGGGTTTAGTATCATACCATCATAAAATATATGAGAAGAACATAACCCGTATCATGCCAACAACTGGTTTTAGATTAAATGTGTTTATTTCCGATGCAAAGACCCTATGAGTGAATCAATATTAATTCCAAAATATGCCATCTTTAATGACCTAACAACAGTATAGTAACTATATCCCTTCTGAATAAGTCTGTTTAAAGGTTTGGTTAGCTTTTGAGGTGATTGACGACATTTTTGCGCTTTGTATAGAATATTACCATAAAAGATTGGATGTGAAATACCTGAACGTATAAGATGTCTGCAATTTGATTTATATTTACGAATGATGTCCTTGTACCGATGATAAAATTTAGTAAATGTTTTGACTACTGTGATATCGAACACCCTGGTGTAATAATTTTTCAGTAATACAGATATTTCTTTTGTTAAAATCAAATACGTTGTTACATACACGAGCGAATCGAACAAGTTGAGTTTTATAAACACCATAAGATGCATGGTGACAAGGGAACGTCACTATCTAAAATTGATAATTAACAATAGGAAATGAAAAATCATCTCTTTTATCGTAAATTTTGGTATTAAGCTTCCCGTTAAAGATATAGATATCAAGATCCAGGAAAGGGCAGTGTTCACTGTTAGTATTAACTTTATTTAAAGTCAGTTCAGCAGGATAAATCTCTTTAGTGTACATACTGAAGTCGTCATTATTGAGAGCCAATATAGCATCCAAATATCTAAAAGTGTTATTAAATTTTTGTATTAGATGTTGTTTCGATGGGTCTTTGCTGATTTTAGTCAAAAATTGTAACTCATAACAATACAGAAACAGGTCCGCAATAAGTGGTGCACAGTTAGTCCCCATTGGAATTCCGATAACTTGACGATATACGGAATCTCCATAGCGAACAAAAATGTTTTCTAGTAAAAATTCAAGTGCAGTTATCGTATCAAAGCAGGTACTAAAAAATGACCTAAAAGAGTTTGAACATATATATTATTTCCATCCGTTACATGAATTTCTACATTTCTTGATTTGTGAAATGTAACTTCTTAATGTGTAAATGCAATTTCTAATGTGTTAACGTATTTTCTTCGTTCGTTACATGACATTCTACATGATTGATTTCCTTAATTTGTGAAATGTAATTTCTTGGTTTGAGTCACGTTTTGGGAGAATGTGTCAGTGTAACTGTTACCGCTGCCAGCCAATGAGAAGTTCCGTTTCTCAAGAAAAACTACAAGTTACAAATCAAGAAGTTACAAATCAAAAACTTTTACAAATCAGGAATGAAATAGTTCCACAATATTCCACACGAGGGCGCTATACTATATCTGTATACATTCAGCCAATGTAGGCACACCTCCAAGGAGTTGAAAAAATAGTGCCCTTCACTACACGAAATTATAATTATTATCGATACCGGAAACCATGGATCCATCACATATATATTCAATATTATAATAACATTATATTGTACTGTTCTGTTGGATTAATTGAAGATATAGTATAAACAATGTGGACAATCTATTCACCACGACTTGTAAAATTTAAAACAAAATATGTAAGTGTCCTAATTTTCTGTCCATATCTATAAAATTTAACAATAGATACATACACTATGTCTATTAAAAAGGGGGGCTCCATGGTTCTTTGTAGAAAATTACTAATAAAGATGTTATCATGTAGTTCCGGCCCCGCCTCAATCCATCCCCGGCATACCAGCCAATAAGTCCCCCTAGCCGATTCTTCCCCAGAACTAAAAAAGATCTGTCCTCATATATGAAATAATAATGTTGCAATTGAAATGGTATGTGGTAGTTTCCTTATTGAATTTAAAGTTAAATATTAAAGATAACAAAATTAATATTTGAAATTGATTTTTATATTTTTGAAAGCACATATGAGAACTTAATTGTGATGTGTCTTCTATTTTTCTATTTTTTAATGTTAATGTGTCTACAATGTCATTCAAGTTGCTTTATAGGTCAAGAAATGTAATAATAGCAAATCAAAATTTTCAAGTCATTCATTTTGTTAAACCAAAAACATACACACGTGTATGTACTCACGGTACTTACAAGAAAAATGAAGAAGCCGCTTCTTGATTTTTTCTTGGAACTACAGTGAAGAGATACAGAAAATTCAGCAATGTTGTCTTCCTTTCACACATACAAAAACAAAGGATGCCATTTTGATAGGAACACAAATCCTAATGTTTTAGAAATTTAACCAAAACGAATAGTGCTATAATGTCCCACGCCTGTCCGAGTTCAAAGGGTAATTATTCTGCCAAAAAAATCAAGGTACTGCACTTATAAATACCAGATATTATCAAAACACATTACATGTATAATCAAAATCTGTAAAAAACAGACGTGGGAGTGCTTACAATGGGGATCGGACAGAAGGACAGACAGATGCCCAGCATTTCTAATTCCCCTGCTCCATGTGTAACAGGGGACAATGAATTGAATGGATTCTAAAATATCTTAGGCACAGATAAATATTCAACACAGTATCCTTGAAGGTCTATGCTGTGCTCAGTGCGAAAAATAAATAACCGATAGAGGTTCTGTAAATTGTTTACTGTAGATCAATAAATACATATTTTTTCTACCAAATGATATTTCTATATCTTGAAAAGTAAATTTTAAGTGGAATTTTGAGCATAAGCCTAGTTGTG